CCTGGCGCTGCTCCTCGGCTTTGCCTCGCTCCTCTGGCTCCAGCTCAGCTGCTCGGCCGAGGGGCCGACCCCCGACGGCGGGCAGAGCCGGGGGGGTCCCCAGCAGCCCTGCCCGCCCCCGGCTCCCGTGCTGCCGGTGGAGGACGAGCCGTCGTGGGGTCCCCACCGCCTGGCGCTGCTCGTCCCTTTCCGCGAGCGCTTCGAGGAGCTGCTGGCCTTCGTGCCCTACATGCACCGCTTCCTGAGCAGGAAGAGGATCCGCCATCACATCTTCATCCTCAACCAGGTGGATCATTTCAGGTAGTGTCTCCCTCACCAAGGGCAGCGAGGGGCCCCCTCTTTGAAGCTCTTGTCCTGATTATGGGTGCTGAGAAGGGTGTCCTGCTTGGAGACTCCTGGAAAACCAGGAGTCAGGGCTGGGGCATGGTTCAAGCTCACTCCCTCTAGAGCTTATAGAAGGACAAAGTGGTATTTTGCATCTCTCTTCCTAAGCAAGAGGAGAATTATCTACCCCCAGATATTTCAGTCTTCCCCCCAGTGTTGTAGGGCCATGGTGGAAATTCAAATAAGTACCATGGGGTGTTTGGAAATGCCATCGCTCACCCTCTGGTCGCTGCCTGGTACCTGTGTGCAGCCCCTGCGGGGGCTGTGCTGGCCTCTGGCAGGACAGGCCTTGCTGCAGCCCCTTGGGCACAGGGAGAAGCAGGGCAGGCAGCAGTGGCACCTGGCTCTGTGAGGGCAGGGAGTGCTGTGTTTGTGCATGTCACCATTTGGGAACGAGTTGAACATTTAGTGTCGAGGAGCAGAGAAGAGGGACCTGGAGGGACAGGAGCTGCTGTGCATCACGCTGAGTCCCCAGGTCTGTGGCAGGTTTAACAGGGCATCCTTGATCAACGTGGGCTTCCTGGAGAGCGGCAACGACACCGACTACATAGCCATGCATGATGTTGATCTCCTGCCCCTCAACGAGCAGCTGGACTACAGCTTCCCAGAGGCAGGACCTTTCCATGTGGCATCCCCGGAGCTGCACCCACTCTACCACTATAAGACTTATGTGGGTGGCATCCTGCTGCTCACCAAGCAGCACTATGAGATGGTGAGCATGTGGGTGGGATTTCCTGGCCAGTTTGGGGCAGGGGCTATGACGTTGTCTTGGTGAACGGTTGTACATTTTGTGCTCCATTGCAGGAGAAGGGGGATAAGGAGTTAAAATGGTTCGGGGACAGAGCCTGCAGCCTGAACCTGGTGGGGGTGGCAGGAGAGGGGAGGCTGTGCTGGTGCTCAGGGCTTGTGATGCTGGTGTCTGCTCCTCTGTGGTGCTTGGAGTTGTGCTGGACCAGACCTTGGCCAGTATGATGGTCCTCTCATTTCAGTGCAATGGCATGTCCAACCGCTTCTGGGGCTGGGGACGGGAGGACGACGAGTTTTATCGACGTATCAAAGGAGCTGGGCTCCAGGTAAGGGGTGCTCCATGGCCTCCTAGGTTGAAATTGCTCTTCTTGTCTCCCTACCTGGCCCCTGGCTATAGCTGCCCATATCAGGGCCTGAGGAAGGCAGCCCTTCTGCACTCCCTATTCCAGTACCAGGTTTTCCAGTAGCTTTACAGAAGCTTTGGGCTACTTCCAGGTTCGCCGTCCGTCTGGGATCACGACTGGATATGAGACTTTCCAGCACCTGCATGACCCAGCCTGGAGGAAGAGAGACCAGAAGCGTATCGCTGCACAGAAGCAGGTGAGACCTCTGTGTGGTCGAGGGGAACCACAGGAGATCTAGATTGTGGTCATCAAGTACTGTGAGCCCTCCTTGCTTGTGTCCTCCCTGCCAGCTCTCTGCTCCCTCCTCCCCGGGAAGCCAGTTTGGGCTGAATGGTTTTTCTCTTCCTCAGGAGCAGTTTAAGGTGGATCGGGAGGGAGGTCTGAACAACGTGAGGTACCACATTGAATCACGGACAGCTCTGAGTGTGGCAGGAGCCCCTTGCACCGTCCTTAATGTCTTGCTGGACTGTGACACAAGCGAGACCCCTTGGTGCACATTTGGCTGAGCCCATCTCCCCTGTGCCAGTCATGTGTGCTGTACTGGTGCTGAGGTGCCGGGGCGCCGCTGAGCTGCTTGGAGCAGGCAGGATTTTGCAGCAGCCCAGCGTGGCGGTGCTGGCGAGATGCAGAGGAACAGAAAAGGCTGAGAACTGGGCTTTGCTGGGACCAACAAAAGAGGCTGAGAGTGGGACTCAGTGGCGTTGCTGCAGCCACTGGTGCTGCCTTCCAGGGCAGGTGCAGGAGACAATTTTCCTGCATTGGATGTGGCTGAGCTGCCGTCCAGCTCAGAGGACAATAAAGAACTGTTAGGGCACCTGTGAGTCGTGAATGCCCTGGGCTGTGCTGCTCCTTTTTCCTGCTCCCTTCACCTTCCTGGCGTCAGCACACCCATTTCTGCCTGGACACGTGATCTGCTGTGGTTCAGAGGCCAAGCTGGTCTGAAATGTGCTTCAAGTGAGATAGCGCCTGTGTTTCAGCTGACAGGTACCTCCAGGGCTGTGCTGAGGGGTCACAGAGGTGTCCACTGACTCCCAAGGGAGATGCCTTTGCCTGCATGGGCTGCTGGGTGAAATGGTGCTGTGTTGCTCCAGAGTAGGGGTGCTGGGGCTGGCTGACAGGTGGTGCCATGTGTGGGACTGCACTTCGCTGGCTCTAGGGTCTTGGCACATGTTTTGGGTGCTGCTGCTTCCTCAAGCTGGGCAGACCCAACCAAACAGCCAGTACCCCTTCATTTTGCCCTGTCACCAGTGGTGGCACCTGGCTCTCCATGTTTTCTGGCCCCCTTTTATCCTTGTCCCATGTCTGGTGCTTCCAGGAGTGGTCACTTTGCCAGCTGCCTGCAAACGGCTGCAGAGAGAAGCTGTTGCCATCCTGGGAAGACAAGCAGGCCCGAGGACATTGCATCTCTGGGGAGCAGCACTAGGATGAGGGAGGCAAAAGTATCAGAGCCAAGTGTGGGGGTTGTGTACCATGTAAGGGCAGTGGGATGGGGCATCTGGAAAGATCCTGGTGCCATCTGCTCTGCTGCTCTGGAGCTGTGTGAGTACAGAGCCCTATGGATCAGGGTATGAGGGGTGCTGCACTGCAGGACAGGGTCGAGGTGGTGGTGTGGGGCAGTGAGGATCAGGCCATGCTGCTTTCCATCATCCAGGGTGCAGGCAGACCAGCATGTCCTCCTCTCCAGCTTGGGGCCTCTCCTCGTCCCAGGGCAACGTGGGGATGTGCTGCCCAAGAGTTCCCAATGGCCTCTTCAGCCCAGCAATCACTTGGTATCTGGCACAAAGATTACAGGTGGGCTTGCACACAGGATGAACTACTCCAGAGATGTTTCCAGGAACCTTTGTGTCCCTCACAGCGGTCAGCTGGATGGAGATGGCCCAGCAGCCCCCTTCTGTCTCTCCATGGTGCAGGTTTAGGGATTGGCCACCTGTACACCAGCCACTTACTGGGGCTGGAACTGCAGCCAAGGGCTGGCAGAGGCAGATCAAAGTATTTCTCTCTGCTGTTCAAAATAGATGACACAGTTTTGGGCAGGTTTCATGAAGACATAGATGTGCAGAAACAGCATATGGGCACCTCGCACTTTGCTCAGTGCTAAAGGCTCCTCTCCTGCTGCCTGGCAGCTATTTCTCAGCTCTGCTCACAGCCCCCTCATCCTCTGGTTGCTTTTGTGGAAGAGGCGCCGTGCTGGAGACCCAGCTTCCTTTTATAGCCTTGAATGTGACTCGGAGATCGCTCGGCTCAGTTCCACCCCCCACGCGTTTCGTTATTTGCAATGGCCCAGCGGGAGGGGACAAAGCTTTTCCCCATGGTCTTTTTGCAGATGGATAACTCCCTGACTGCTGTCCTGGGAGCCCTGTGGAGCTGAGCCGGAGGCCTCTCGGTGTTCCTGTGCTCTCAGTAACACTGAAGAGGGGGTCAGGATGCTTGGAGGCAGAGAGAGCCTGTGGAGTCCCAGCCCTGCCCCTCTGCAACCCCCCTTCTGGGGCTCCAGGTGCTGTTAGCAGGGTCTGCACAGCAATGGGCTGGCTTTTATTGCAGGGTTGTTTTAAACCAGGAGGTGCCTGCAGCGGATTCCTGGTGGCCACGTGAAATTGCTGTAGGATTGTGATGGCGGGGCTGGGGTGAGCAGGGATAGGGCTGGGAAAAAGCTGATGGGAGTCAGCAACATCTCTGCCCAGAGACCCATCCCTGGCTGCTTGAGCGTCCTAGGCCAGGGCCCTGCAGGAACTGCCATCCCAGGGAGACGCGTTCAGGGGAGCACAAACCGTGGTGGAGACGTGGCAGCAGGAAACGGGATAGACAGGAAGGTGGGGTGTGTTGGTGACCAGCACCTATTGAAGTAATCCTGGCATCACCGCAGCCTGCCTGGCTGGAAGCCCTGGCGGGATGCCTGCTGCCACAGGCATGTGCCTGTCCGTCGGGCAGGGACCCAGCAGCCCCACGGGC